CATCATCATCATCATCATCATCATCATCATCATCATCATCATCATCAATCATCATCAATCATCATCAATCATCATCAATCATCCACTATTACTGGCAATGGGATATAGCCAAGGTGTGTTTGTTCTCCCTCTTTTGAGCAGCGTCACAATATGAAGCCAGCTACATGAAGTGCCCTTTTGTTCGTACTCTGGACGCCAAAGCTCCTTTCTTTTTCTGATTGAGATTGAGCTCCAAAGGCAACTCTTGCAGATAATTCCGGGCTGACCGCTTAACCTCAGCATCATGAATCTGGGAGAAGAAACTTCATGAAGTTGGTCGCCCACACTCCGAAAAACCTCAGACCACTCAGACACATCCTGAGACCTAAGAGCAGAAGTTCAATACCTGGGACCTAAGAGCAGAAGTTTGGCAGCCTTGCCCATGGAAGTCCGTGCCGCGCTTGCGCCTTCCTTGGTCTGAGCGACAACCACAGCCGAGTTTTTGAACAGACGGCTTCCGAGTTCAACGAGACTCTGCAGGGGCGTCCTATTTGGAAGCGTCGGATCGCCAGATTCCGGACGACGATGCTCATGAATAGTCGACCTGTTTTGACTCACGTCACTGCACTACAAATTTCAATTTGACAAAGAAAGGTTGCAGAACCCCCTTTTGTTTGCAAGATTTGTTGTGCCATCGTCTGAGGGCGTCCTAAGCTTCTTGGCATGAGCAGGTGGATCTCAGAATTGCTGTGCCGAAATGGGTTCCATTTTGCCGTGCCAAACCCAGCGCTTTTGCCTACGAACTTTACTTACATTCTCGATGAGCAGCGAACCTTGTCTGTCGACTCGAGTGGCGATTGGGGAAAATCAGCAGCGGTTTGCTGCTCGCAGGTGCTCGCAGGGGACTATGTGAGATTGAATGCGTTAATATCAGAGGTGTCACAAAAGCTCAAGTGTACAGTGTTTCCAGCTTAATAAGAATCACTTTGGGAACCTGATAAAGATCAGACTAGATCTAGCACCTCACGCGCCTCACGCAAGAGACACGCGCCTAGCGCGCGCACCCTGGTGTGACCACAAGCCTCGCAATGCACTCCCGCAAAGGTTGGCAGGCAACTTCGGACCCCTGGAGAATCCTGGAAGACTAGTTGGTCTGCTCAGGCGGTGTTTTTGCATCTTTGGTCAAGGTCTCCGAGCACGTGACTGGCATCCCAAATGGCCCAGACCGGGTCTGCGCTGCAAACAAGGCCAACGAAGGATACGAGTTCCATCTGAGAAACAGCGAGCTGCTCTGTCCGGCTTGGGAAACAAGATGAAGAACAAAACAAACAAAATGATTGCAAAGCTCCTTAGGCTCCTTCCAAGATGGGAAGCACTGGGTCAACATCCGTTTCTGTAGACTTAGACTGATGAATCCCCTTTTTTGGGGGATTGAGCAACCTCTTCATATGGCGCCGTGTTTGTTTATCAACAGTCTACATTGCACTTCATCTTGGAAGGGACATCCTCTCAACAATCCATCCAGAGAAGGGAAGGTGACCTTCCGACCCTCCAAGAAGCACACAAAGACCAGACCGACATCGACCGACATCGAGGTGGTCTGAAGGGAGGGATCTGAAGGGAGGGCTGATCGCCCCGAAAATCCTGGAAAGCATGCTGAAGCCATCCATCCTTCCCACATTCTTTGGCACATTCTCAGGGACATGTCGGTGCGATACGGTGACCATCCGATTGACAGCAGCGATTTTGCAGCTGCGTCTCCATGTCTCCTTGTTTTCAGTGGCATGCTCTCCCAGCTGGGCCCTCAGCCTCTCGCTGACGTGCTTCGACCAGAGACTGTGACCTGCGACCTGCTCCGCAACAAATTCCTTTCGTCAAGCGGTTTCCGCATTGCGGCCACAGGCAGGTTCCACATCCGCTGTCGCGTTCAATCATCTTGTTCACTGCGGCGTTTGTGACAAGCGCAAGTGCTGTTGACACCATCAAAGTTCATTGCATGAAACGTGCATCGTCGTGGGACTCCTGCAGCGCCCAGACACTGGCCAGCCGTGGTGACCTCCCTCCCTATGGCGCCATACTTCGCATGGTATACGACCGGCAGACCCCCTCCCTCCCTCCTCACGGAAACGACCGGCAGACTCGAGGCCTGAGGGCAGACCTGCTTGGGAAACGCAGGCTTCGGATGGCACCGAAGCGGCGGCCTCGTCCTCGGCTTCGGTGGCGCGCCGAAGCCGCGAAGCGGCTTCAACCCTGTGACTTCCTGTGTGACGACGGCACGGCACGTGTTTTGGACGTCTTGGGCATGGAGAACGGATGTGTTGCCACAATCGTTTCGGTGTGTGTGTGCGCTTTTCTTTGGAAGACGTGTGTGGAAAAAGCTGGCGCCTCCGTCATTCCAAGTCAGCGAGAACGCACGTTCTCGCGACCGGACGAGACCCCGCTCTCGGTTGGTGTGTTTTGCCTGTGCTTCATACACTCCGTCCACTCATTCCAATCGTTCCAATCGCCTTTTCTTTTAGAGGTGGCTTATTATATTGGCTTATTGAATGGAAGTCGTTGGTCATGGATTACCCGTCATGGATTACCGGACCGAAAACCGTGACCAAAGTCACTTTGCCTTCCGACAGAAGCTAAGCGAGGTGCAAC